GGTTCTTCTTTTGGCCTGGGATTTCCAGGAAAATTAATTACTGAGACACTAAGGGTCCTGTGAACTGAGAAAGTTTAGGAAGCTCTGAGGTAAAACATTCCAGGCAGCACAATTAGTATGTGTTAAGATTGGAAGGTAGGAATAAGCCTACACACATCAGCTTAACTCAGCTTTTCCCCTTTGGTGACAGTATTTTCAAAAGCGCTATTATCTTTAGTTTGGTCTATACATAACTGAGATCCTAAGTGTGTGTGTGTGTGTGTGTGTGTGTGTGTGTGTGGTTTATGTGTGTTACTTGCTTTTTAAAAGAAATGATTCTGTGTTATTTCCTGAAAATCCCCAATCACTACAAACATTTTTTTTAATGTTAGCTATAATGTTCTCTTTATTACTTTATTACTTTAAACTCCAAAAAAAAATCGTTCTTTCTCTAAAATTCCATGCTTGAAGACTTTTTGATCAGGCTAGAATTTGGAGACTCCAGTTTGATATTTAGGACGGGGATGATACCTGTTTTTGAATGAACAGGAATTGATCATAGAAAGGTGAAATAAGAAGCCCACCTAATGGGGCATGGCTTTGGGTTCAGTGATGGAGATATTGTCTAGGTGAGGTCTAGGATTAGAAGCAGGATGTTTCAACATACCCAGAGAAGCTTGTTCTCTTGTTTATGTACTTATGTTATGCAAAATCATACAAGATGCATTTTTAAACCTGAATGATAATTTCCTTTCCTGTGATTGGAATGCTTTTGACCCATTTCCAAGGATTCCACTTTAGAGTCAAGGTAACCAAGAAGTTGATGAGTAATTACAAGGTTGCCTAGTGACCACTGAAAAACAAAAAGGAAAATACACTGTCTAAAAAGAATAATTGCTATTTTAAGTAACTTCTTAGAAGGCCACCTACAACAATTCATTTGTTTTATGCTGGAATTATTTGTACCTCTTGGGTGTAGGGTTTCTCTCTTTCTCTCTATTAAATTCAGAGATCTGTTTGTAGGGCACCCACACAATGACCATTTACCTAACCCTATTTTCCTTTGCTTAGCAGCCCATCTTTGTTGATACACTCTTTATTTTGTTTCGATGTAGTGTTCCATGATTCATTATTTGCGTATAACACCCAGTGCTCCAGGCAGAACGTGCCCTCTTTAATACCCATCACCAGACTAACCCATCCCCCCACCCCCCTCCCCTCCAGAACCCTCGGTCTATTTTTCAGAGTCCATCGTCTCTCATGGTTCATCTCCCCCTCCGATTTCCACCCCTTCATTCTTCCCCTCCTGCTATCATCATCATCATCATCATCTTCTTCTTCTTTTTAACATATATTGCATTATTTGTTTCAGAAGTACAGATCTGTGATTCAACAGTCTTGCACAATTCACAGCGCTCACCATAGCACATACCCTCCCCAATGTCTTTCACCCAGCTGCCCCATCCCTCCCACCCCCCACCCCCCCCAGCTACCCTCAGTTTGTTTCCTGAGATTAAGAATTTCTCATATCAGTGAGATCATATGATACATGTCTTTCTCTGATTGACTGATTTTGCTCAGCATAACACCCTCCAGTTCCACCCACGTCATTGCAAACGGCAAGATTTTATTCCTTTCGATGGCTGCATAATATTCCATTGTATATATATACCACATCTTCTTTCCATTCATCTGTTGATACACTCTTTAAACATGCAAATATACAGCTTATTGGTCCAGTTAGCCTGGGACCTGTTAGCTGGGAGCATTCCTGTTAGCCTGGGAGACATACTGTCTCCTGTCGGTATGTATTGATTTAATCAGATAAAAACTCAACCTTCTACTAGGACCATTCTACTCTGCCCGAGTGTCACTGCTTTCTTATACATTTTCTCTGAAATACTGTATCTATAGATATCGTCTTTTTTCCTGTAAATGATAGTATATTAAATACTCTGAACTGTTTTTCTTTTTTAACTTATTTTATTTAAATTCAATTAGTTAACATATACCGTATCATTAGTTTCAGATGTAGAGTTCAGTAATTCATCAGTTGCATATAACGCCCAGTGCTCATTACATCCCATGCCCTCCTTAATGCCCATCACCTAGTTACCCCATCCCCCCACCCATCTCTCCTCTAGCAACCTTCAGTTTGTTTCCTAGAGTTAAGAGTCTCTTACAGTTTGCCTCCGTCTCTGATTTCATCTTATTTTATTTTCCCTCCCTTCCCCTATGATCCTCCGTTTTGTTTCTGAAATTCCACTGTTTTTCTTTTTTTAGTTAACATTTTTGAGATTGTTTTATATTATTAAATATCACTTTGCCTTATTCCTCTTAATGGCTACAGGGAATTCCATTGTTTGGATGAATAACAATTTAGGTAATTAGTCCTATTTTAACAAACATTTAGGTTGTTTCAGTCTTAAATTTTTGGTGTACACCTATAAGACTATCAGAGGACAAATTCCTAGAAGTGCAATTCCTAGGTTAATTAGGTTGTGCATTCCAAGTATTGATAGATATTGGCAAATTTCCCATCAGAGAGACTGTATGAAACTGCACCAATAATTTGAGAAAGTGTTGGTTTTCCTAATCCATCATCAATACTGTTATCAGACTGTTTATTCTAAAAAATGACATCTTATTATAGTTTAAAATTGAATTTCTTTTAAAATGAGTGAATTTGAGCAAATGTTTATATGTTCAAAACCATTTGTTTTTCTTGTCTAAGTCAACGAACACTTAATGACGGCCTACACTATGCATAATTGTTATGCTCCTTATTGGAGTTACGGTGATAAACAATATATAGCCTCCACAGACCTATGGGGGAGACAGACCAATGACCAACTGTTACAGTGGTCAAAGTTTAGTATAATGGTATAATGGGAACCTGTTGGAGGCACACCCATCACAGTCCAGAAGGAGATCAATGGGGCTTCTAGTGGGAAGAGACTTGTAAACTCAAATCTAAGGCAGGTATAGTCGTTAGTTAGGTGAACACTAGGGATGGGAAGAATATGGAAAAGGAGGCAGCAGACCTATGTGTGTAGAGATGGGAACAGAAGGCACCTGGGACTTGTGCATAGTCCAGTTCAGAGTGGCACTGTCAGGATAGGAGGAAGGGGAGGTGGCAGGGTGGGCCCTCCACCCACTAATGTGGCCTTGGAAATCAGTTCAGGGGTTGTTTGAACTTTGCCATGACAGTATGATGTAACTGGAAGATTTTCTGATAGAGGATAACATAGCAGAAGTATCTTAGGGGTTGAGCTAGAGAATTGATTGGAGAAGGTATGGTGAGCATTTAGGAGGCTGTCCAGTAATTCAGGGAAGATGATGTTTCCTCGGTCTTAGAGATACACTAGATATTCGTAGATCTCCTTTAACATTACTATGGAAGCACTGAATTCTCCCAGTCCCCTCTGAAGGTGAGGTACACTGCACAAGGGTGAAGAGCAACCACCCAGAACCAGACAGCCTGGGTATGATTCGTGGCTGTGCCAGTTTCTAGTTGCATGAGTCTGAGCAATGAGGGAAGTTACTAACATTTGAGGGGTGCTGTGAAGATGTAGAGAGAGGCATGTGAAGCACTTAGCACATCACTTGTCTTATAAAAATGAAGGCTTAATAACCACTAGCTGTTTTTATCATTTTTAGTATTACGTGCCCTCATTCCACTCTAGAAATGTCCTGATCTTTGGCTTATTATCATGTGCATATGGGGAGAATTACAGAATTTGGAATTTCAGAGAGATTTGAGATCTCTTGTTCAATCTCCTAATTCTAGTTATGAGAAAATAAAGGGAAAAAAAAATCAAACAATCGTTTGTGGTTGCACAGCGCCGACCTGAAATTCCTCACTGGTTTGGTTCTTTTATCACAGGTACATGTAGGTATATATTTTGGTTACTACACTTAGCCTTTAGTATGGATCTTTCTCCTCTTTGTTGACAGCAGCGATTTCTTGGGTGGAAACTCCAATTTGGAAAAACAATCTGGCTTACACACTTTATAGTGCATCATTCAAACCCCATAGAGCTTTGCGTAATCTTAGAAAGAAAAACTCAGAGTGAAGTGGATGACTAAATCTGTAGATACTGCAAGCTTGGGCTGTTTTTTAGCAGTGGGGGCTGACGTGGTTCAAAGCCCCTCCTTGGGTGAGCTCCTCCTCCTCTCCTGGCTCGACCGGGCAAAAGCACCCTGCGCTCCCATCCTCACTTTTGCCTCCTGGATTCTCTCAGCCTTTCCGTTTCCCTGGGGCCCCTGCCATTCCATTCAGTCGAATTAACAGCTGTTTAGGGAGAGCCTGCTACGTGTAAGGAAGACTCTGGGCTGGCTGGGGGATGCAGGCATGAAGGGGTCCCAGCCCTTGCCCAGAGAGAAAGGAGGGAGGCGCTTCGTCCGTATCTTAAACTTGACATCCCCGTCACCGCTTACTTTACCCTGCGCACGAATTCTCTCCCGGGTTCGCACCGAACACGCTCCTACAACCCCCAAAGGTTTCCCGCCTGGGGCGGCTCCTGCCTGGCTCGAGCTCCGCACAAGCCGCGAGCGGTGGTGGAGAGAATGCCGCCCGGGGCATCGGGCATTGGACACCAGGGCCCTGGGACCAAGGTGGGCGCTACCGCTCAAGGGCTGACTGCCTGGGCAGGGCACCTCGCCCGTCCCGGTCCCAGCCGTCTCGTGTATTAACCAGGGCGCGGCACGCTTCCCTCTGAGTTTCCCTCCCGGGCTCCCCTCTCCCGATGTCTGGGTTCGTGCCCCGCGCCCGGCGCCCGGGCGGGCGGCTCCTCGTCCCCTCCCTCAGTCCTCCTCTCCCGCAGCCCGACGCCTCAGGGCAGAGTTCAGGGTCAGCTCTGGCTCGTGCCCCCGATTTAGGAAAAGGCCAGGGGGGCTGGAGCGCGCGGGTTGGCAGAGGGGAGGCAGAGGGGGGCGGAGGGAGGTGGCCTCTGATTGGTCGGGGAGGGGGAGTGGAGGCACGGAGTTTCCCACAATGCCCCGGTGCGGTGCAGCCGCGGATGGATGCTGCGGGAAGGGGCTGCCATTTGCTGCCCCTGCCAGCGGCGCGCGGACCTGCTCGCTCTCCTGCAGTGGCGGCCGCCGCCCGCGCCGTCAGCCGGCCGGGCCTCTGCAGCGCCGCCGCCTCGGCTCCCTGCGCGGCCGCCGGAGCGGTCGCCATGAACCCCAGCTCCTCGGCGGGAGAGGAGAAGGGGGCGACGGGCGGCGGCAGCAGCAGCGGAAGCGGCGCCGGGAGCTGCTGCCTGGGCGCCGAGGGCGGCGCGGACCCGCGGGGCGCGGGGGCAGCGGCGGCGGCTGGGGCCGCTGCCCTGGAAGAGCCCGCGGCCGCCGGCCCGAAGGAGAAGGACGAGGCGCTGGAGGAGAAGCTGAGGAACTTAACTTTCCGGAAGCAGGTCTCTTACAGGTAGGCGCGGGAGCCGAGGCGGCGGGGAGACAGGTGCCGCCGCGGGGCTGAGACCCGCTCTTGCCCCTCACCGAGGCGCTTCCCCGGAGTTGGGGGCACCTGGCGCGCTCTCCCTCTCGCTCGCTCTCTCGCGCTCTCTTCCTCTCTCCCCCTTGTGGGGAGATGTATTTTCTTCTCATCCCAGCCTTCTGGGCTGGAGGGAAGCTAGGTGCGCCCGGTTTCCCTCTGGAACAGGACAGAAGACTGGGTCCCTGAGGTCAGAACAACAACAACAAATGCGTGTGCGCGCCGGCGCGGGGGCGGGGGCGGGGTGCAGACCCAGGTGGAGATGCCTAGTCTTCTTGAGAGAAGTCTTCAAAGTTGTCCCTAAGCCGGTGTCATCTATAACCACTCCCCCTACCTTCTAGATTTCCTTGGATGAACCTTTGGCACTAACTTGATAGTTGAGATCGCCCTACAGGCAGGATAGAACAGCACGGTCCTGAAGAGAGATCCTTACGGGAAGTTGGCCCTGCACCGAAGCCTCCCGTGAAGGAAGGGTCGATGGGGATCGAAGTCTGTAGATACCCAGCTGGTTAGGGGGTTACCTGTACGTGTGCCCTCTTCCCCTCCCCTGCGTGTGCCCAGCAGGAGGAGGTAGGGACCCACTGGCAAGCCGGGGGTGAGTGCGAGAATGGGACCACGCTTGCCCCTGAGGATGGATACATTTGTGAGACAAGAACAGGGTAGGGTAAATGGCCACCAGATTATGATAAAGGATTACCCCACATTGTCTCAGGATGTAAATATGAGAAATGAGGATTCAGTAGGTTCTCCGCTGCTCCTCCCCACCCCCATCCCCAGGCAAGAATAAAGATTTTGAGAGGTTCAGAGAGTTTCAGATTACCCTTACTGCTTTGTTAGTTTGAAAGCCAAAAAAAAACAAAAAAACAAAAAAACATAAGCATAGAATTACAAAAATTTACACTTGCTAGGGCTCTGAGCATTTCTTGAAAAGGGGTCAATAACAACATTACTGTGACCCTCTCCCTTGAGCCAGCAGTCCTTTCCAGAAGCCCATATAAAGTATTAAGCCTGCCCCACCATGTGCTGTTATGTAAGCAAAAGCAGATGACAGAGGTGTGTGGGTTTGTGAGGGTGTGTGTTGTATTTATGGGGGCATGTGTGTGAATCACTGGGATCCCCATAGGCATTGCCTGGACAGGAAGCCCCAGGCACTAGGGCATGTGCCGTGTGTCTTAAGTGTTGGTTGGCTTCTAATGACTCAGAAACGGTCTTCTGGGTGAGGTTCTTGCTCCCGCATCTCTCGCGTGCATTTTGTTCGCTGTACATTGAGGGAGTTTCCCACTTGACTTGCTCTTTTAGTTACTCACGTAGATCAGGATCAAATGAATCTTTCTCTTTATATTTTCTGGTTTCTAAAAATAGACAGGTGCTGGAGAGTGGGGTAGCTCTAGGGAGGTATGCTAGGACACGGGCAGTTCTACTTCCTCGTAATGATGGCCTGCCTGGCCCTTAGGGGAACAGGGACTACATTCAGCCTAATTTAGGAACTGTGAGTTGGAGGGCAGTTGATTACATTAAGCACATTGTGGGTCTGGGCTCCTGAGCTGAGAAACTCTCATGTGTTCCTGGTATTCATCAGATTCCTCACTACACTAGGTAGGGCTGCAAAGCCCAAGTTTGCAAGGGAAATCATTTCAGCTTGCCTCTTGGCCGGGGTCATCCTCTGCATCTCTCTCCTGGACCTGGGTACTGTGTGAGTGGGACATGGCTCTCTGGATTGCACGCTCACACATGCATGCGTAAGTGTGTGCACACAAACGTAGACTTGGACACAGCATTTTTTTTATAAAATAAAAATAATAATACTGCATTTGCCTTACAATCCATAGAGGTGGATCCCACTTTGTGAACAGTTCCTTTTAAATAAAGCTTTACAATCTCCAATTCAGGGAACCACCTGCATCAGCATCACCTCAGAGGGCTGGTTAAAAATGCCTGCCACCCCAGACTTACAAAATCAGTCTGTGGGTGGGAATTTTCAACAGTCTCCTCAAGCAATATTTAAGCACATTAATATCTGAGGATTGCTGCCTTGTTTTTCCCCAAAGGCTAAACAGTTGATCTTTGAGCTCATAAACAGTGCCCAGCCAAACAAGGCCAGGTGGTCCCAAAGTCAGAGAAAGGAGAGTGAAAAGATAGGCGATTTCATCTGGCCCACATTTGTCCTGGGTGACCCTCAGAGGGTCTCCATTTTGATTACTATTATTATTTTTTTAAGAGTCATGGTGAACGGCCTCCCCACTCGCCATGGCAGCCATTCCTGCTTGATTCAGCTGTAGCTGGGGCCTTGACCATTTTGTTAGTGGGTTAGTAAGTGGTCTGTGAGGAAAGTACAAGTCTGGCTGGAGTTGGGCCTTAGCTCCTCAGGGAGCACCACCCCACCCCACTCCCGGGGCCAGCCAAGGTCAGGGCCTGGTGGGAGTTTGTGGAGAGAGGTTGGGAATACCTCACAGGATGGAGCCTGAGCCAGGGGGTTCGGTTGGAGAGTGAAGTGTGGATGCTTGTGTAAGGGGGGGTCGTCTGAGGTGGGGAAGAGGAGATGTGCAGGTAGGTAAAAAATATCTTTTGAAGAACATGGGTATTTGCAGAATGACACTTGACAGGAAAGAAGAAGGGGGCTTGGGGAGAGGGTGTGCGTGTGCGTGTGTGTAGGGGGGTCTCATCTGCTCCTTCTGTTGCTAAGGAACATATAAGCTAGATTTTAAAAATAAATGAGGAGTGGGTGGGCATATGCAGTGACTCCTGTCTTTTTAGGAACTAGAGCCCTTTACAAAAAGCCTTTAAATAACCATTTCTGGAGGCAGATTATTCATTTTGCTTGACTTTTACTTTGTTAAGTAAAATAAACTCCTTTATATACCCCTAGATTTCCCCTCATTATCTTTTCTTTCTTGGCTTTTTTTTGGGGGGGGGGAACCATTTTTCCCATGAGGAATTTTCCTTTATGTCAGATTCTGCTCCCCTAGAGCAAATAGTCTCTGTAGACTGTGAAGCTAAAGGTTTTAGAAGGCAGTGCAAGTGAGCTGGTACTTTTCTCTTAAAATTACTACTTCCTTTTTCCTTGCAAATTATCGTGCTGCAACATGATACATATGTGCCAACGACTATATAATGTGTAGGAACTGGTGTTTTTTTTTCTTAACTGCTGTAAGAATTCCCATTTAAGTTAGTAAAAAAAAAAAAAGTCTTTCAGAAATACACAGGGGAGGGGAAGGAGAGGGTAGCTGACGTTTATTGTCTTCCGTGTACCAGGCACTGAAGTAACTATTTGTGCATATGCCATCCTATTTACTTGTCATGAGAGTCCTATGATGTGATTATGGTTATTTCTATTTTATAGACAATGAACTTGAGGTATAGAGCTTGGGTGTGAGGCAGACTGGAAACCCAGATCTGACTCTAAAGGGTTCTCTCTTTAGACCTAGACATTCATTTCAGGTTCGAAGTCTCTCCACAGACTTGTGTGGTGTGGAGTGTAAGTGTATGCGTGTGTGTGTGTGTGTGTGTGTGTGTGTGCAGTGTGATCTGTCTTTTCACCTTCTCTGTAATATGCCATGGGTCATCATTATATATTATCTCTTACACTTGTTGGGTCGTATCACGCTGGCTATATAATTTTAAGGAATCCCTCCTTTATTTCAGAAATGAAAATGAATGTAAATGAATGATCACCAAAACATATATTAGTTTTGCTTCGTAGAGCAAAACCACCTACATGACACCTGCCATCATTATGAAGATACCCATGTTAGAGTTTTATATGCCTTTGAATAAAAATTGCACAGATGTTATGTAGGTGTACCTAGATCCAGTGAAGAACTGGCCTGTGTGTACCTCCTTGAGCAGCCCAAAATAAACGATGGGGCGTGATTTCACTGGTAAGAAGATGTTCAACTACCATTACTTTTAAGATGTTGATAGTATGCTTCAGCGTCTCTACTTTTACACCAGAATGGTACTGCCAAACCCTCCTTACAGGGACATTTTGGTATGAGATAGAAGGAGCCAGCAGGATGGATTAAAGTCCTTAGGTTAGACAACTCGGTAAAAAATGATTTGTTATTCTTTGCAGGTTGGTGATAAGAACATAGTATTTCCATTTTTGTTTTGTCCTTCAAAACAAGATTATGTGATTATAAGAAAGACCAGTGGGATGTAGAAAGCCAAATAGGACTGCATGTGCCCTGTTTTTTTTTTTTTTTTTTTTTGCACAAGAATCAATTGTGTGTGGGGGAAGTTTGCTTCTCCTGGATATCAGTGTGTGGCATCCTCCTTTGTAAATCAATTTTATTTCTTTTATGTTTTATACATTTGTTCACTATTTAGAGGCTTCAGGATCAGATGAAAACTGGTTCTAATTTAATGTTTCCTTCCTCAATAATTACTTAGGACTTGGCTAAGTGTTGACTTCCTCAATCAGGACACCAACTAGGCAAGAATGCACTTGAACCATCGTCCAGAGTACTTAATCTGCTCTAGTTGATCTTCCAGAGGCTTGGTTTTTACCATGGGAGAGTGACAGCCTTGGACCGTGTGGCATCAGAGGGAGGAGGAGTTGAAGGGAGTTTTGCTGGTGTTCATTTCTGCTGTGGCAATGACAACATCGCCTCATAGGGACAAATTAAATTAGAGTAGAGCTGACTCTTTGGAACATTTCCCTCTCTAATATGAGAAAATGAGGACTCCCAGTGAGGGCCCAGGCTGGCTACACCTTCCCTGTCCAGCTGGGCTGGGCTCTGGGATACACATCCTTCAGGCAACCCTGAGTTGTTCTTGGAGTGGGCTCAGAGGCATTCACTGCGTGAAACTGGAAGCATCTGGAAGGACCATTGCCTAGATGTTGACATGACATTTACTTTCTTACTTGGGTTTATGTTGATAACGCTGATCCTAATTACTTTTTCTGAGACCTTATAATTTTAGTTTTAGTTTAT